CCTCTGGTGTCTGGAGGTTTGATTTCCAGCTAAAATGATGCCCACATTCTGTGCACACATAAGGTTTCTCTCCTGTGTGTGTCCTTAAGTGTCTAATAAGGTATGACTTCTGGCTAAAGCCTTGCTCACACTCCCTGCAAACATAAGGCTTCTCTCCTGAGTATGTCCTCTTATGTCTGATGAGGTGTGAATGCTGGCAAAAGCCATGCCCATACTCCTTGCAAATGTAAGGCTTCTCCCCAGAGGGTGCCCTCTGGTGTGTGACAAGATTTGACTTCAGGCTAAAGCTCTGGCCACACTCCTTGCACACATAAGGCTTGAGCCCTGAGTGTGTCCTCTGATACATGAAGAGGTTTGATTTCCAAGTAAAGCCTTGTCCACACTCCTTGCACATATATGGTTTCTCCCCAGAGTGTATCCTCTGCTGTGTGATGAGGTTTGACTTCCAGGTAAAGTCTTGTCCACATTCCATGCACACATAAGGCTTTTGCCCAGAATGTGTCCTTTGGTTTTTGATGAGGACTGACGTACTGCTGAAGTTTTGTCCCCACTCAGTGTACATGTAAGCGGTCTCTCTTGTGTGTGTCTTCTGGAGGCTGAGCTGGTTTGACTCCTTGATAAAGCCTAGCCCAAAACTCTCCATATTTGATTGCTCCAAATCTTGAGATTTCTAAACCACATAGTATTTTGTCTGTTTCCTCGAGGTCTGTCCTCTGGGCCAGGCTGGGCCCTATATCCACCACTGTGTTGTCTTCCTTGGATGTTACTGTCTGTTCTTCCAGGGGGCTGGAGATTGCCTCTGAAGCACTGCTTCTGCTTATTCTCCTGAACAAAAGCTTGGAATCTTCTTTCTCTTGAATTTCTGCTTGGTGGCTCAAGCAGGTTTGATCAGAGAGTTGCTCCTGCACTTGATCTTCTGTGCAGTGAAAATGGAAGTGTTCCTTCTGAAAGTTCAGAAGTCTGTGATCTTCTGAGCAGTGTTTCCCTGAATGGAGATGATTTCCTGCACATAAGCTTGAGAATAACTGAGGGAGATGGCTGAACCACACAGGCTGGATGAGGGCTTGCTGGAAAGAGAATGCCAAAGGACAGGTGAGATGAGGTTGAATTTCTAGCTTTGATCCTGCTAAACAATGTTTTCAGTCATAGGTAGGGCTGCCTTGGCCATTCTGCTTTGCCCACTGGTCATTTATAATATATTTACATCACAAGCTGTCTCCCACTCAGCCATCCTTCCCAAGATCTATTTTGCATTTCACTTTATGCATCACATTTTTTTTTCTATGCATCACATTTTTATTGTAGGAAACAGTAAGCTTGATCAGTGGACCAAATCCAGCCTGCAATCTGTTTTTTTGTATGGCTACATATAATATCTATTATATCCAGTTTTCAAAGAAACAGGAAAGAGTGACATAGTTAAGGAAAAAAATTACAGCCAATAGAAAACTGATTTAGGGAGAAAAAAAGACTTGAAAGCTGATATTATGAATATATTCAAAGAACTAAAGAAAACAATATGTGAAAAATTAAAGGTAAGTATTATAACTTAAAATGGAGAATCTCAATAAAAAATAGGAACTTTTTTTTTTTTGGCTGCACCATGCAGCATGTGAGATCTTAGTTCCCAGATCAGAGATCAAACCCAATGGCCCTTGCACTGAAAGCATTCAGTCTTAACCACTGGACCACCAGGGAAGTTCCAAGATAGAAACTATTAACAAGAAACAAAAGGAAATTCTGAAATCAAAAAGTAAAATAAAATTACAAAGTTACTAGAGAGATATAACAGCATATTTGGCTTTGAAACAGAACCAGTGAACCTGAAGATAAATTAATAGAAATTACCTAAAAACTGAAGAGAAGAATTAAAGAAAGACTGAAGAAAAACAGAGTCCCAGAAACCTGTAAGACACCATCAAGCAAACCAAACCTATGTGTAATGGTAACTCAAGAAGGTGAAGACAGAGAGAAAAGAGCAGAAAAAAATATCTGAAGAATTTATGGCTTAAAAAGTTCCAAATTTAATGAGAAACATTAGTCTACATATCTAAGAAGCTCAACAAACCCCAAAATAAACATAAAGACAGCCCTAGCTAGATACATCACAGCCAAAATGTTGGCCATCAGGGAAAAAAAGACAAAAGGAAAATCTTGAAAGCAGCAAAAGAAAAATGACTCAACATGTACAAGAGGAAAAATAATATGACTAGTGTTAACTTCTCATCTTTGGTCACCTGATGTGAAGAGCTAATTCACTGGAAAAAACCCTGATGTTGGGAAAGATTGAGGGCAAGAGGAGAAGAGGGCAACAGAAGATGAGATGGTTGGATGGCATCACTGACTCAAAGGACATGAGTTTGAGCAAACTCAGGGAGATAGTGAAGGACAGAGAAGCCTGGCATACTACAGCCCATAGGGTTGCTATGAGTCAGACATGATTTAGAGAGTGAACAATAACAACTCATCAGAGACAATGGGGACCAGACAGCAGTGGAATAACATATTTAAGGTTCTGAAATAAAAAAGGAAAGACTTCTATCAATGAAGAACTCTCACAAACCTATCTCTGAAAATGAAACTGATATAAAGATATTCTCAGATTAACAAGTACTCAGAATATCTGCTGCCAGCAGACATGCCTTATAAGAAATACTTAATAAGTTCTTCAGGCTGAAAAGAAATTGACACCAGATACACTGATACTAAGTCAAATCCACAAGAAGAAATGAGGACCACTGAAACTATTAAATATCTCTGGGTAAATATAAAAGACAATGCATGTATATTATTCTCTTAATTTCTCTAAAACACATAAAACTATTATAAAGGCAATAAATATAATACTATATTGTGGGCTTTATAATATATATA